AATAAGATGACAAACTGTCTTTTTGCTTAGCTTCGGCTTCTTGCCTCGCCTTCATTTTTTTGCGTTTTTGACTGCCAGGCTCATAGTGTTGCTTCATTATTGCTAAAAAACTGACCTTGAGTTTAGGCAGATTAAAAAATGTCTGAAAGAACAGGGGCGTAGCCACAGGTGGGCCTGGGTGGGCCGTGGATCACCCAATTAGGTTTAACGCAGTTAATCCTGCATTTTTATCAGGCTCTCTAAAAACGGGATTTTTAACCAATTACATACTAGTGACAAATCACAGGCATTGTTGCAATGTGCGGGGGAGGGTGCTTTTGTTCAATTGGCTAACTGGTCAAGCAGACAGAGTTTGATTGGCAAATGACAATTTCCCTTAGTTGCTGCTATGTTATTGCCGAGACAGCGAAAAAATGGCAAAGCAAAATTCTTTGCTAGACTATTTAAAAAAAACAAGTTTGGAGCACAGTTGCAGAATGCAGAAAGCCTGGACTGCTTCGCGACTTGCAGTGCTTATTAAATTCAGTCATTTCTCAGATTTGTCCTGCATTTTGGGGCGCCCTGTTGTTGGGGGCCCTGTGCCACAGCATGGTTTGTTTCACGGTAAATCTGCCACTGGTGAGGAGGGGTGGGGGGGGGTTGCAGGGAGGGAATCCCTGAAATATAGGGGGAGGGTGGCACACAGCGAGCTTGTGGGAGGTAATGGAGCGGTGTAAAGAGTCCTTGTTGTGTGCAATGCGCTTGGCCTATCAAAGTCACAAAATGTGCAGCCCCCTAGTTACGGGCCAGCTGAGCAGCCAGGCTCCCGGAGTGCATGTGTGAGGTGGATTATTTTACTGTAAAGGTGTGATGCAATCCATGCCATATCCCTTTTGGGCTATGAGCCTGTTTGCTGCTGTTGGCGTTGGGCAGTAGCTAGGTGGTACAGCGGATCCTTTTGAATCTGTGTTGAAGCAATGCCCAAGCACATTAATAGGGGGCACTATTCTGATGTCATTCAGATGAGATGAAAATCAGAGGCACTCATTAGTTGTGGTTATTACAGAGCCCAACGCATTACCAGCAAGAGTTGGTTTGTTAATCCCAGCATCCTGGCCAAATTTCAACTCTGCTATTTATATCCTTCCTATGTAAAATTGTCCCCGTAGCTGCATTTGTATATAGACATCTTCCCTTCTTGTCTTCAACAGCTGTGTAGCGTTGCTAGGCACTGTTAAGTGGCTGCCATGTTCCACCTCAGACCTGGCTACATTTCAGTGATGGACGAAGTGATCGCTGTGAAAAGAATTTTCAAAGCACTTTGGATCCTTTACAGTGGAAGGTGCTATGGAAATGTACAAACAGGCCATTATCTTAACTGGGGCATGACGTCACAAAGAGGAAAAGGACATTAGCAGGTCATAGGCCTGGGGGGCGTAGTGGGACATAGAAGAAACAGGAGGAAGCTGTCCTTGAGTGATCTAATTTTCTCTCACTCTCTTTCCTCGACAAGTGCTGGAATGAACTGATACATGCTGGTTTGGCTCCTGACTGGCCTCAGAAGTTGTTTGTACAGTGTGAGAAGCCTTCAAAAAGTCACTTTAACTCAGTATGTGCCCTTTTGCATATCTGATTACAGAGCAGTTTGGATAGGGGAGGAAAAGAGAAAAGAAATCAGTTCAGGCCTTTTGAACTACAAACCTGTAGTCCCTTTCACGCAATAAATCATGTTCATGCTCTTTTTTTGCTCACCTATAGTGGAAATAAATCTGTTCAACTGTCAATTAATTTCTTAGCGAGAACCTGACCCAATTAGTGAAGGAAGTGGCTGGTGGATTTTACTATTGTCCTTAGAGAGGAGAAAGAGAATGGCTGCAGCAGTCTAGTTGCAAGATTCATAGCATGGGATGCAGCAGGAATTGAGTGCATGTGTTTGCAGGGCCATGGAATCACAGGAGTAGGAACAGAAGAGACTTATTGGTTCATCTGGTTAATTTCCTTGCAAAAGCAGGCTTCTCTGGCAATATGGGATTGGTTGTGACATTTATGCCACAGCTCTGTCTGTGCGGTGGTGGTGCAGAACTGACCAGGCCCAGCAGAAACACTGGAGAGATTGTGCCTCAGATTGCTCTCACTGGTGCACCCTGGGAGCCAGTGCAGATAGGAATAGAGCTCTGACCATGGCTCCCCACCATTCATTTTTGTCATGTTAATCCCAAAGGGGAGCAGTAGTCAGCAGGTCTCTGTGCTTCCCAGGGGATGAACAAGGAGTGCAGGAGCCGTTATTCAGGGTGTGCTGAGGCCATCACATCACAGAAGGGGAAGTGATGTTAGAGAGACAAGGTGGGTGAAGTAATATCTTTTATTCACACCCCTTGTCTCGCTAAGAGCCTGTGAACAACACAACTACAACATCACTGCATACAATAATGTTCGTAAAACACTCTACCTCCTTAGATATATTAAAAAGCTTAGTGCCCTCCCCCCCCCAAATCATAATGTTCCTATAATACAGGACAAATCAGCTAAACAATTCTTGCATTTCAACATTTAAAAAATATGTGCTCCCCTCTTCTACCTCCCCCCCAAAACAACAAAGCATTTTAAGCCTAAACAGACTCTGGCTGTTTCTTGGCGACCTGAATGCTTCTCGATGGAATTTTCCCTGCCCTTCAGCCTTTTGTAGTTCTGAAAGGTCCTGGACTCAGGCATGTGACTGTAAGAGCCAGAGCCAGCGCTAGACATAAGCAGACTAAGCAATTGCTTAGGACCCTGAGCAGCTCAAGGGGGGGCCCCTATTCACTTTTTATTATGTGTTGTGTGTGTGTGTGTGGGGGTGGAATATTCCTGCTTAGGGCCCCGCATGGGCTAACACCGCCTCCGGTAAGAGCAGAAAACATTTCTGCATCTGAATGCGCTACCAAACATTTATAAGCTACTCAGGTGAAATGGGTACATACTAGCCCAGCGGGACCTTATTAAAAAGCGGCCGTGGCAGACAACATCGTCAAGCTGAAAATCTCTCCTTTGGTTTAAAAATAAAAAAGCCTCCTCAAAGTACCAAACAGTAACACAACAGCCAGGGAGTTTCTCTTCCCCAAGAAGCATTTTGGAAATTTTATGAAGTGGCCTATTGAAATGGAATAACACGCTTGGCAACTGTAGCAACGGCTACTTCCAGAGAGAGGAGTGTGTGAGAGAGTGTGTGTGTATGCAAAGCACTCATTTCCAGGTTGCTCTCCCAACTTACTCAGTAAGAAGGAAGATTATTTTCTGTGCCCCATCCCATGCTTAGCCTCTACTGAGACTGCCAATATGAGTGTCAATAAGTGACACACGTCATGGCGTTTTTGAGATGCGAGCAATTGTCCACTAGGAACTGGGTTGAGGCTATTGGCAGTGGAGGATTACCGCACAGGCCTATGGGGCCGGGCCTAGGGGTCCCCGCTGCGGCCCTGGGGATGGAGGAGCTCTCGCTCCCCGCCGCAGCCAGAGCTTCTCTGGCCTCGGGGCTGCAGCGGGGGGTGGCAGAAAGAAGCGAGTGGGGGACAGGGCTGCGGAGGAAGAGATGGAATGGGAGTAGGGTTCATGGGGTGGAGTGGGGCAGGGCTGTGGGTAGAATGGGGCAGGGCCACAGGGGAAGGGGCAGAATGGGGTAGGGCCATGGGCGGGGGTGCAGGCGGAAGGGATGGAGCAGCAGGAGGAAGGGGTGGGGTGAGGCCACAGTTCCGGCATCAGGCCCCACCCCCGTCACTTGCTCTGGCCCAGGGCCCCAGGAGATCTTAATCCGCCTCTACTATTGGCTCATTTCACAAAGAGCACTCAACAGCCATCAAATGGTAATGACTTTCACTCACTATCAACGTTGGCTGGAGTGGAATGGCCCTAAAGGGAAAACCTCTCTTCATCCATGTAGCATTTTTCTGGATTCCTCATTTTGCATTTCATCACTTGGTTTCCTCTTTTTGATCAATGCATGGTGTGTTCAATGTCATGCCAGAGGGAGCAGAGCAGAGCACTCTGAAAAATGGTGGCCCCCATCCAATACCAGACAATATCATGTCTGTTTTTTGTCCCAGTAGGGGACAAAGGACCCCAAAAGTGGGCTGTCTGGTTCAAAATCAGACGTTGAAGTCTTTAAATCATGATTTGGGGACTTCAACAGCTGAGTCAAGGGAGAGAATTATTCCAGGAGTGGGTGGGTCAGCTTTTGTGGCCTGCATCATGCGGGAGGTCAGACTAGATGATCATAATGGTCCCTTCTGACCTTAAAGTCTATGAGTCTATGAGTGACCTCCCTAGTTGTGGAGAGATAGGCATGGTTTGTGCTTGCAGAGAATTAGGAGCCAGGAACTTGTAATCCCAGCTCAGGCCATGTCTACGGTGCAGCACCACAGCTACAATGCCGCAGCTGTGCCGCTGTAGTGAAAACACTTCCTACATTGACAGAAGGGCTTTCACCATTGCTGTAATAAATCCATCTCTCCAAGAGGAGGTAGCTAGGTCAATGGAAGAATTCTTCCATCAACCAACTGCTCTGTCTACAGTGCGGGTTAGATTGCTCTAACCATGTCGCACAGACTCCAAAAGTTTTTACTTCCCTGAGTGCTGTAGCTAGGTCGACCTAAATTTTAGGTGTAGACCAGGTGTGATCTTGAACAGGTCACGTTTTCTGATTCTGTTTTTCCACCTGTAAAATGGGTAACAATTACTTTCCTTCCTTGCAGTGGTGGTGTGAGGATTAGTGAATGTTTTGAAGATGGAAAAAGCTGAACAGTGGACATACACACTAATCTTCTAGAATTCAGCCACGAGAAGGATGAGATTGCAATCATTGCTACATTTTCTCCCTCAACCCTGAATTGCCATAAGCCTACGATTAGATTTCACTGTGATACACAACAGGCTAAGATTATTCTAAAGTACATCATAGACGCAAGAACCACTGAACTGCTGTACTTTAGTCAAGCCAACTGGTGGGTTCAACATTTCCCTGGAGATTTTGAACTGACATTTTAGGACTAACTGAATTCTCCTCTCACTCTTGGAAGTGGGTCTTCCAGGTCAGGAAGCCCATTGGCAGGGCCGTGGTAAGATGGGGATGCATGTGCTGCCACAGCCTGAGCTGTACCTATTTTAGAGCACCAATCCGGCATCTTTCTTCAGCATGTCACCTAAATTAACCAGAACTAACACAGAATTTTTATATCACTAAATATAATATGGCTACTCATGTACAAAGAACAAGAACCACATTCAAAGTCACCCTGTTCAGAGGTAAAAGAAGAAGCAATTCCACAAACTGCTTCATAGGAATTTAAAGAAATCACATTTGGCAAAATATCTGTGTCATGCTTCTCTCCAGCTGAGACACGTTCTTCTTCATATGGGTTGTGCTAGCTTGAGGGTCTCAGCAGTGGAACTGGGGAAGCCATCTTTCAAGATATTGGTCCTCACTCTTATGGCCTGCAGTACAGGACTGGAGCCTTCCCAGCTGGCATCTGGGTGGTCCTTTCCATCTGAAACACACAATGAAGAAGGCCAATGAATCACTGTATGCACTTGGATCATGACCGAATGGTAGCATTTCACCTAGTGCAGAGACAAGACATATTGTGTGCTTCAGCCAGTCAGAAATCTGGTTTACCCATGAAAGCAAAGCACATTAGACTTTCCAGTATAAGCCAGTTTCTGACTGGCTGAAGCTTAATTTACTTATTTGATTTTTAACTTTTAATCAGTGAATAATGATCATGTCTCCAGCAGCCTGATTGGCTGTCCTGGGGCCTTGCAGTCACCGGATTGTTTGGCTTGGAACAGCACATGCAAAAGTACTGTAGGTCTAGCTGCTTTTTCTTGTTTGTCTGATTGGCTTTTTCAGAGTTTATGAAGCTCCTCACAGAGGCAAACTCCCACACTGGGCATCAAGGTGACAGGCTCAAACTGCCCCTATAAACCAAATCTTAGCCTGAACCAATCCCTTCAATCATTCTTCACTAGATCACACTAAAGACCAGCTCCTAAACTGGTGTAAACTGGCATATCTTCATTGAAGTCAATGAAGCTATGCCAATTCGCACGTACTGAGGAACTGGCCCTACGTGTATCAGTCAAGATCCACATTTAGGCTGTCCTTGCAGAGACCTTCTGCTGATTGGGTAAATGAGTGGAGTGGGTTACGTCCCTATTTCCATATTACAGGTTATAGTCTAAAGGTAAAAGTGCTTTCAAAAAAATGTACAAGGGTTAGATGGGACCTCCAGGGCTCGCAAATTATTTTCCAACTTGTAATCAAACTGCTGTAATCAAACAATACAGACCAAGTATTGTTGCTCACCAATACTTTCAGTGTTTCATCCCTCTTGAAACAGGAACAGTGGGCACGTTAATAAATGGATTGATGGACTTGTCTAAATGTAATTTCCATAAGTATCTCTATCTCATCTACTGAAATGCAATGAAATATCTAACTTCTCACAGAACATACTCCCCACTGAATCACTATCCCTAATGCTGCCTCACCCACCTGGAGTCAGCTAGGGGGATTCCTCCCACTCCCTCTCTCTCTCCAGTGATAAAGCATATCAGTGTCCCAGAATCCTTTGTCCAGATCATGTCAATAGCCAGAACATCTCATGGCTTGTCTATCAGATCAATCTATATACGTGCTGGTCACCATAGCATCTAGGCACTAAATACATCAGTAAGCAAAATGGACTCTGCTTTTGTCATCCTAGGATATCCCTCTGCACTGGTATCCAGATCCAAAGTTTTACATTAGACTTTACTTTGAAGACTAATGATTAGATTTTAAACAGTGGAGGTGAATTTATATAGGCAATGAAGGCTGTCTGCTTTCCATCCTATGCCCCCTTCAAAATCCACTGGGCTGAGAGCTATCTGCGACTGCCTTCCCAGCAAGACAGTGCTGATTCATAGCCTATCTGAACGGTCTCTGTCAAACAGTATGGGGTACTCTTTCCTCTCTGGAGAACACTCTGCCCTTATTCACAGGGTGGTTGAATCTCTGCAGAGCTCACCTCCTTTCTCCCCTAGGGAGCTACAGTTTGCTGCTTCTGCTCTTAATTGGGGTCTTGGAAAACTAGATTTCCACACAGGAATCTTTGTGGCCAATTAGGACTTTGCCTCATGTACTTGGCTAAAACTTCCACTCCCCTCAGTGTTCTGCCTGGCTGCTGCCCCCCACCTCGGACTCAATTCCATTTCAGCGGTGCTAGACGTATATAGTGTGTGAAGTGCTTGGAGAGTAAACGTGCTATATAAATGTAGAGATGTTATATTATTATGATTAACTACAGCATGTAGCAGATGCACTGTTGTCTGTTGGGAAGAGATAACCATAATGAGAGTACTCTTTAAGATCATCTTGATCTATGCTGTAGGCAGATGTAGAAGTGAGATAATGAACTGAAAGAGCACCCAGCAATTATCAGAACCAAAATATCCCAGGTAATAATGAATCACCAGTCAGAGCACGTCCTCCTGTTTGACAGAGGAATTAGACTGAAAAGACCTGTTTGCTGCCAGTAATTGCACTGCAAGTTGCCATAGTCCTAAGCAAATATGTACTTCTGATCATTTAGACAAGCTCCATTGTAGGATAGAAAAGTACAGTTCCCTCAAGGACCCTGCAGAGCAGTCAACACCTGCATGGGCCAATCACTATTGTTCGCTATCAAAGCTTTGAAGAAAGTCAATAAAGCTGAGTGAAAGGAGGTAGGTAAAAGGCAAGTTGATGGACTGAAAGGGGCCATGATAATACCAGCATTAGCAGAGGTGTTCAGAAGGGACAATGTGCCAGGTAGGAAAGAAGTCCTTTCTTATAGTTTATTTGGAGTTTTCAAGTGAAGAGACTCTCCACCTCTCTCTCCCGTCTAATGCTGTCTTTCTCCTCTCTCAGTCTGCCTGATGCTGTGTGATACCCATACTAAGACTCAGTCTACACTAGAAAAGGTTTGCTGGTATAACTATCCACAGCAAACCCTTCTAGTGTAGATGCAGTTTACACCAGCAAATAAGTGGTTTTGCCAGTAGATCGGTATAAGCTCTACCACAAAAGCACTTTTTTGTCAGTATAACTGAGTAGTCTACACTAGGGCTGTTGCCAGTATAGAAATGTCATAAAAAAATTACACCTCTGACCAACATCACTATACCGGCAAAATATTTTAGTGGCGACCCAGCCTAAGACACTTGTAATGAGTCCTCTGCAAATGCGCAGAGTCCTTTGCACGGCTTCATGGGATGTGCCTCAGGAATCAGTGCAGTGGTTTATGGACCATTTCTAGCTTTAAAAAGGACTGGTTGCAAATGACTCAGCAAATTTAGAGAGAGAAGGTGGGTGATGTAATATATTGTATTGGATCAACTTCTGCTGGTGAAAGAGACAAGCTTTTGAGCTTGCACCGATCTCTTCTTCAGGTCTGGTAAAGGTACTCAGCCCTGGTCTACACTACAGAGTTATGTTGACGCAAGGCAGCTTACATCAATCTAATTCTGTAAGCATCTACACTAAAATGTTGCTCCTGCTGATGTAACTCGCCCACTACACCGACTTAACTCCACCTCTGCGAGAGGTGTAGCACTTAGGTAGGTCAATGTAGTTAAGTTGATGCAGTGCCAGTATAGACACTGCATTGCTTACATTGACTGTTACTGGCTTTCAGAAGCCATCCCACAATGCCCCATGCTGACAATTAAATCGGTGCACATGCTCCTAATGAGGACACAAGGAGCGTAATGTGGACACGTAAAAGCGATTTAATTACTGTGGCAGCTGTACATTGTCGTAACTTAGGCCGACATAATTTTGTAGTGTAGACAGACCTCAGTGTCACAGCTAAATACAATATGGAACGGATTATTTAGCATAAGTGGTTAACACATATTGTAAGAGACCATACAAGGTAAAGTGGCCAGTTCACCCATATGCAGACATAGTACCAAAAGGGGGGGGGTAGTGGGTTAAAGATTGTTGTAATAAGTCATAAATCCAGTATCTGTATTAAATCCATGATTTTTAGAGTCCAGCAAAGTTATGAATTTAAGCTCCCAGGCTCAGTCTTTTGAAGGTGTTGTGCAGGGTTCCTTTGAGGATGAGGACCGAGAGATCAGACATGGAGTGACCACTTTTTGAAAAGTGTTTGCCCATGGATAATATGATGTTACTGACTTTTATCATTTTTCTGTGTGAGTTCATATGAGAGTGTAGTGATTTCCTGGTTTCACCCACCTAGTTGTTATTGAGGGCATTTGATGCACTGGATGAGGCTCACCACATGTGATAGGCATGTGTACGACCCATGGATCTTGAAATGTGTTTTGCATCTGTTGTTCTGGCAGGGTCTGGTGCCGCTTTGAGTTGGCGTGTCCTGGTCTGTGGGGAGCTTGCTTCTGCTGATGAGCTTGGCAAAGTTGGGTTGTTTGAAGGCCAGAAATTTAGCTGTGACGTACTGAGTATATTTTCCAGACCTGAAGAAGAGTTCTGTGCAAGTGCAAAAGCTCGTCTCTCTCACAAACAGACGTTGGTCCAATGAAAGATATTACCTCACCCACCTTTTCTCTCTAAAACCCTGGGACCAACATGGCTCCAACAACACTGAAATTTACTGTAACAGCAAGCTGTGGAAGGGAACAGAAGTCTTACAGGATTGTGGCCTCCCTTTCCCCAAAGACAGCTGCTAACAACTCCTTAACAACTGCTACTCTAAGCCATTCTACTTCATGTTCTTGGCCCATTTACAAGTTACAGCATTGAAACCCAATAAAATAACAAGATTTTTGCTGGAAAAAGTTAATTTTTCCATTGATAAACTTCCCTAGTAACTGGTAACACACTGATGTCTGTCTCTGCAAGAAAGGGGCTAGAGAAGTACTATTTTTCTTAATGAACTTGTACCAACATTCCTCAGCAATGCCATTAAAGAAAACATTAACTTGTAATTTTACACAAATCAACTTCATCTTGGTCCTGGGTATTATATCTCAACTAGGATAGTCCAGTAAAGGAAGGTTTTTCTGTCTCCATCTCTCTGGTGGTTTGCTACAAAGGGGCAAAAAAATTAGAAGAGTTTTGGAACCATGTTTAACAACACTCACTACTTTTAGAGTGACATACTTCAGAATGTCATGTATAATTCATTTCAAATGTTGCAGAAAAATTCTGCCTTAGCCCCAGACTTAACCTACCATTTTGAAGCTGCTATGACTTCTTTGTGACTTCCATAAGCATCCACTCTCTGCCAAACTGGTTTTCTAAGGGAAATTCAGTTGCAACTTTAACTGTGGAGTGAGTACTACTATTCCATAATCACACGTTTTCAAAGTGTGGCACACTTTTAGAAGCAACGCTGGCTTTCACAGCAATTGACAGTAGAGATAGGGAGCTGTTATTTCTATGGGAATATAATTATCAAAGTGTATATCCTGGTGTGGGAGAGACTGATGCCATGTGTAATCGTTCGGAGATCCATATAGCTGTGACCTGGAAAAGGTAGAA